CGCACACCCTGATTTCATGGACCTCTTTTGGGAGCTTCGTGTGCGGTCGGTCAAAATAGGACTTCCATGGAAATCCCGAACCCCTGAACCGGTCTGGGTGATTTTTGTTTGTTGATATGTTGGTCACCCAGATTGGGGCTATCAGGGGATGTAACTTTTGTGGGTTTTCCACAGGTTTTAGGGGTACTTTTGGGGTACTGCTGAAATGTGTGCTTTTTGCTTGGAGATAATTAAGTTAGTACAGTTCCTGATCCAATTATCTCCCAGGCACAGGGGAGGGATTGTCTCATTTTGTATGGGAGTGTCCTGGAGAGCCAATGTAATCGCCTGTATGTTTTACTGTAGTCTACTCTTAGGTCCGGGGGGGAGTGCCCCTTGTATGGGGATTGTCATAAAAAGCCGTGTGGCTCCATTAAAACCAGATGTCCCACAGCATAGTGCCTCGTCTCATGTTTGTGGGAGAAAGCTATACCAGTGGTCTCCCTTCTACTTGGAGTGCTTAATCATTAGCTCTGCATTACAGCATCCCTCCCACTAGGGGGAAAAGAACCCCTCTTCCCATCGGGGTGGCCGCCACAGTAGTGTTTATTCACGGATAAAGGAATTTTAAGTCAGCGTCTGTGGAGAGAATCTTTCTAAATCAGCTTTATTTTGACTTGAAATGTTCAATTCTCCACAATTCTCCGAACCACAAACTGCAGAAATTAAAAATGTACAAATTGTATTATTTCACCAAAAAAGTGCTGATTTGTAAAAATTCCTCAACTAGGTTATAGTCACAGTTCGTCATTTTAGCCTAAATTTTGCCATTCACATTTCAGTATTGCTAAAATTCCCCCTGTAACGGCACCCCGGGCATAAAAGGGGTTAACAGCCGTTTAGTAGATCTTCCCTTCCGGAGACACAGGCAGCTACTGGAGAACACCAAACTCCCGAACTGGATACAACGGAATGCTCCAAACTCCCGAACTGGAACCTCACGAATAGCTGCTAGCAGACGAACAGGAAAAGCACCCAAGCGGCTTACACTCCTGGCAATCAGTCTCTAACGGCATACAGTAAATCCCCCCGAAGAACGAGACAAGGCTCCGTGTTGAGGGTCAAGCAGTGGTCTGATTTATTCAGGGCTACCTGACCAGTATTTATGCAGGTCTCGCACCTGGTGGACACTCCCCTAGGGGACCAGATGGGAGACTGTAACACAGACAGATATGTATCACATTCAGACACACGGAAGTAAAACATCCCCACAATGCATCCTAATTTCCCTCCCTCTATCCTGGAGATAATTGGGAAGTAATCCAATTATCTCCCTGGACAGAGGCAAATCGCCATTATACACGTGGGGACTAGTGATGTACCGAACGGTTCGCTGGCGAACGGTTCCTGGCGAACATAGCATGTTCGCGTTTGCCACGGTGGGCGAACATATGCGCGGTTCGACCCGCCCCCTATTCGTCATCATTGATGAAACTTTGACCCTGTACCTCACAGTCAGCAGACACATTCCAGCCAATTAGCAGCACACCCTCCCTAGCAGACCCTCCCACCTCCTGGAAGGCATCCATTTTAGATTCATTCTCAAGCTGCATGCTTAGTAAGAGGAGGGAAAGTGTAGCTGCTGTTCATTAGATAGGGAAAAACATAGCTAGGTTAGGGTTAGGGTATGCTTTTTAAAAAAAAAAAATTCTATGTAATGTAATTGCACTTAGTTGTCTGCCACTGCTGCCAGCTTCTGTGTCAGGCTCACAGTGCATACTGTGCCATTTCCCAGT